AGCAGACCCGGCAGGGTCTGGGCCAAGCTGGAGGGCAGAGGCCTGGGCTCAGAGTCGGCTCCCATCCTGCCTGGGACCCTCCGCCGCAAAACCAGGCACAAAGAACTCGCTCAAATAGTGGTTCCCGAAACCTGAGCTGATAAGCCGAGATGTGACCATCCACCCAGTCTCCCAGGCCAGGAGCCCGGCAGTCATCCTGAATCTGGCTTCTCACTGACCTCGAGCTCCCCACCGCCAGGCACATCTCTTCGATGCCCAGGTACTTGTCGTCCCACCCGGCCACCTGTGCCACTGTCCCACGCTGCCTGCGCCACCATCCCCACTCACCTGGACAACAGCAGCAGCCTTACCAGGGAAGGGGCTCCTGGCTTGAGCCCCACGAGCCAAGCAAAAGCCACATCTGATGTTGTCCCTCTCAGCTTGGAACACCTGCTCCCAGGATAAAATCCAAATCCTCTAGGAGGCTCCAGGTTTCTGTGTAATCTTTCACTCCTTGCCCAGGTAGGCTCAGATGAACTGCAATTCCCCCAGACTGCAGAAGGACTGAGCTGCCTCACCCCTGGCCTGCCCCCCAGGGCTCCACACCCTAAACTGGACGGTGCTGACCAACTCTCCTGGGGCCCCAGCACAGAGCCTGATGCAAAGGAGGTGCTGACGACAGACCCCCCTCCACCCCCAAATCCACACACCTGAACCTGCAGTCAGTGCTGCTGGGCTCTCACAACTGGTCTGGGGTTGGGAAAAGTCTAGTCCTGCCTGGGCAAGGCACACCCCGATGAGGTGGCTCATGTACAGGAACTCGACGGGTCCCCCACAATGGGAGGGAAGTGGTGGAGAGCGGAGACACGGGAAAGGGCTCCAGCCTTCAAAGCGCTCTGAGCAGGACGGCTGGTGGTCCGGAGGAGACTGGCAAGGAAGGAGGGGAAACAGGAAGGGATCTCAGTTCACCCCTGGGTGCTCAGTTCACCTCTGGCTCACCCCATCAGTGCCTGGCACAATGCCCGGCTGCGGCTAGCTCAAAGGATGGGCTGGGACCCTGGCTCTGCCCCCCACCCCCAACTCTGGAATCCTACTCTCTTGGAGGCAGAAAAGCGGGGGCTGGTAACGCCACCTCACGGGGATCTGGGGAAGTGACCAGGCTGTTCCTGGCCCAGATCCTACAGCTCTGGCTCTCTGGGAGCCCGAGCAAGGTCTTCCACCTCCTTCAAGAGAGGTGGCCCGGAGCAGGTGCGCCTGGGGAGCCTCCGTGGAGCTGGGACAATGAGCCCTTTCTCTTTTCCCTTCCCAATCCACCTCTGCCCACCCCTGCCTTCGAGGGGCCGTGGCGCCCTCGGCTCAGGACCCGACTGTCTCCACTGGGGGACACTCAAGAAGCATTCACCAAATGGCACAGGGCACCATGCAGGGCTGTAGGCACCGGGGCCTGCTCCTTCATATGGAGCCGCCAGTCTGTTCTTGCTCCTCTGACTAGTCTTTTCCCTCTGCTAGATCCCGAGAGCATTCCGGAAAAGGGCCGCAAGTGCCCAAATGT